GGGGGGTTTGCATGCTATGATTCTAGCCATTACATAGGGGACGTCTCTGATTCGAAAATATTTATTTACTATGGATGTAAATGATATATGCCCTCAATGTTTGATCTGTGTCATGTTGGAGGCGAGCTGTGTGGGATGCAGTATCACAGTCGACGACAGACAGAGATATTGAATTTTCAGAAAAGAACACTCACTCGTAAAAATAAAGTTTCCCACTCAGCAGCTAACATCACGCGTTCTGTGTGCAATAGCGAAGACTAACTCATGCCCATCACAAATTCATGAGATGATGGCGATAGTTACTTTTTGAGCTAGCTCGATTTAGACAGCACATTTTAAAGGATTTCAAGAGTTTATCATCTTGAATATATTTTTTTTTTCTCGGCTGTCGTGTGAATTGTTCACCTTACCGGATTGGGGCAGGTCGCCGTGAAAAAAAACAACTTGACCTTTATGACCATAGTACACTCTATTGTTTGCTGGGTTTTTTTTTAACCAGATGCACCCTGCGTTAGGGAACGTGAACATCTTTGGATCATTCAAGATCACACAACCCAACTCAGCCTTTGCTGACTTTTCAAGGTAGGTACGACATTGGCAAATGCACCCCTCTCCCACGCCCCCCACCCCTATCCCCAAATCCAACATGAAAGAAAATTGCCTTTTTGCCAGAAGTAAAAAAGAGATTTCTCCTTTCACAAGCAACAAGAGAGCACGACCTCTAACTTTGACATAGTAATACTCTAATGGGGGATTTAAGGACAGCTTCTCTATTAGAGGTAATATAAGGTAACAGAAATAAGGGTCAAATATAAGCAAAATAGAAACTTGCCACTGTGTACAGTCTTGGCAACGATGCACCACGTCGTTAAACACTCTAGGGTGGCCTCGTGGTTAGGCTACCGGAACCGTAATTGTGAGACTGCGGGTTCGGGGGATCGAGCGTCACCTTTGGAAAAGCACTTTGCGCACGAATGTCCCATTTGGCTCTGCCCTTCTGAAGATGGACTCGGAGGTCCCGCCTCCTAATAGTGCTGATAGGGACGTTAAACCTATATCATTTCACAATTATCAGACACTCTCGTTCAAAACGTCTAAATATGGAGCTCTCCAGAGCAATAACGACTTCAAAATGTGCACATGACTGATCTCCTCATAAAATTTCTTAATGGTGACAAACAAAATGATACTCATTTCAGTGTGGCTACGGATGGGAAGCCCACAGTGATCTATCTAGAAAATGGGAATGAAACTCTGTACCTCAGTGTCGTTGCCGAAGTGAGCAATGGAGACGAGTGTGACAGTACCTTCCTGGTCAAGGTCTTGGAAACAAACGCCCTGAGAAAGACAGGTATGCGTGGCTTTGTTTCAAAGCGCGAAATACAGAAAGACTGGAATGTATTTCTTTGTTTTATGAAGAGAAATTTAGAAAAACAAGTATGTGCTGCTTTGTTTTATAGAGCGAAAGTCAGAAAGACAAGTATGTGAGACTATGTTTCATAGAGTGAAATGACTTTAGAAATACAAGTCTTTGTATGCATGGCTTTGTTTAGGAGAGTGAAATTCAGAGCCACAGGTAGGCATGGCTTTATTTCTGATAGCGATATTTAAAAACGATAGTATGTATGTGACATTATCTCACAGAATGAAATTCAAAAACACAGGTATGTGAGACTGGCGGTGATAGGAGGCTGCCAATTGCAGGTCCTACTCTATTACATTCTGACTGTTGATTCTGACTGACTGTCTTACTCTCTCTCTCTCTATCTCTCTCTCTCTCT